AGGTCGAGCAGTTGTTCACCATCTTAGCTGTAGAGGGCGCAGTGTCACTGGCCCTCATGTGGGATCCGAACTGGTGGCCCTGCTGCTCAGAGCTCGCGCTCCCAAGCCAGCTCTTAACCAATGGAGCCACTCGGCCGGCCCTGTCTTTTTATTATTGTATTGTAAGGGTTCTTTATATATTCTAGATACAAGCCTGTTATTAGATATACAATTTGCAAATATTTTCTTCCACTGATTGGGTTGTCTTCGCTTTCTTAACAGTGTCCTTTGAAGCACAAATAGAATCTATTTTTGAAGCTTTGTAAAAATTCATTTATTCATAAAATCATTAAAAGCTGGAAAGACCCAGTTATACTTTATTGGGGAGAAATTACTTGCTACCACAGTAAATATAACATTTGAGATGTGTAGTGATTTTGAGGACAGAGTCTATTCTTGAAAGCCGAGGCTTAATGTACTAAAATCAGGAATAATGGACCCAGGCTAATTTTGAGAGTTAAAAGATGCATGTAAAGAAAGCAGATTACACAATGTTTACATAGCTCTTGATTGGGTAGGAAGGGCAAAATGGTAACACTAAAATAAAGCAGCATGGAGACAAAAATGATAAGTAGAGAGCTACCTGGAAGATACAGTGGGAAACATGATTCATGAAGAGGTTTATTTCTTTAGGATCATTAGGAAAATGTGTAATGTAGGTAAGTTATAAAACTGATAGGTAATATGATAATGCAATGGTATCACAGGCCTGTTTGAACTGCTATGAAGAATCATCCCTCCTTCTTATTCCTCTTCATTAATAAATATTTTTAGGAACTACATAGGCATCAGGTAAGGCATGAATCTTTGGTAGATGTCTTGAATCTAGGTCTAAATCAGTTCTAACTCTAAACCTCTAATAAGTTCCTAAAACCAGTAAGAATCACAAAGGTACACTGGGTAACAGTAAAAAGGAATTCTCCTTAAAAGTCATTTGTGTAAGTCAATTTGAGTGACCCATTCTCAAAGTAGTTTAGCTATTTTTATCTAGAGTTAAATAAAAACTCAATAAAGGAGAATAAAAGATACACGAAGACAAAGAGTTTTCAACACTAACACATAGTCTTAAGAAACTAGTGTGTTTACCCAAAACATACCTTCCACTTTGAAGCTGGATGTGCAGGGTGGTAAATGGTTCTGTACGAATAAGATAGTGCATAACCCCAGCAGAATTTGAATAGTGAGTACCATAGTGGAATTTATCAATAATTCCCATAGGATCCTCAAAATTTTCATATCTAAAAAAGGAAACTAAAGTTTTATAACCACAATAGTAAAATTAAATTAGAAGTACTTAAGCTTGTATTTGCATCGTCGAAAACACAGTTTTTAGGAATTCCTTATTAATATATTTCATTATCTAATGTATTTGTATCATCATACCATGTTAATAAATGAAAAAAATTATTCATTAAAAAATGACATTTTTTTCTGAACAATGAAATATCAGTTAATACTGGACTTTGGAATGGTTTTGTATTATGCAGTCATACATGTTCACTGTAGATAAGTTAGAAAACAGAGAGAATCAAAAAAGAAGAAACTTAATGCTATCCATAATATATTGTTTACAACTTATTTTTTCATTTAATAATTTTCTATTAACGTCTCTCCAAATGATTAAATAGTCTAGTTTTAATAGGTATATGGTAACTTTAACAGGTACATGTATGGATGTATGAAAATTTATAACAATTTCTTACTTCCAGATACTTAGGTTGTTTCTAATTGTCTGCTATTGTAAGCAATATGACAATGAGACATTCTTTTATGGCCAAGGTAATAAAAAAAACGTGGAGAATCAGTCAAGAATTGTGGAAATGAATGCCTAAAAATCTAAAGGTAAAAGATGAAGCAGGTAGATAGTGGAGAGAAAGAAGGCCTACACCAGATTATTAGCAAAGGACATATATAAAGATTCTGCAAGTACTATCACTAATATTCATAGGTATAATTGATTTGAATGGTGGTTTGAATGGTGACATCTGAATTAGTGGTTATGTGAATAAGAATAAAGTTGTTTTAAGGCAATAAACACTGAAAATTTAAAACAAAATACTAATTGATGTTCATCAAGCTGAGGCCAATTTCTTTTATATAAAAATCGTTAATATTCAGAGGAATAAAAAAAGTTTTCAGGTCACAGTCATTTGTGCCTAAGCAAAAAATATACTACTGTAATTTATTTTTTATTTATTTATTTTTTAAACCTTTTTATTGGGGAATTGGGGGATGGGAACAGCGCTGGGGAATTGGGGAAAGGGGAACAGACAAGTTGCTGTCTTTCTGTTCTTCAGTTTAGTTGTGGAGGACGTTGCTTCACTGGCCCAAGTTGGCACCATCATTGTGCTCTTCCTGGGCGAGGCAGATCAGTCACTGGCTTCTGGACGGCCAATCACAGCGGCTGCTGG